TTTGATGAGCAGTGCCATGTCCGCGCCCAGGATTCGAACCAACGAAACACTGGGCCGCCTGCAGCGGAGCGCGCGAACTTAACCACTCGGCCACGGGGCCAGCCCCTCAGTGATGTTTTCTTGGAAGAGTTATGTAGTAACATGTGTAGTGATGACACAGTGTAAAAGAACCAGGGTAGATGTGCCGTTTTAGAGGTGTAAACATATTATATTAGAAAATATAAATGAATTGTTTTTGTACAATAAAAATTTAAAATACTGTTGTGAATGAAGTTGTATTGTAGTGAAAAAAAGATGTGGTTATATAGCTCATGGACATATTATACAAATCCAGGCTAATGAGTTTTAATTTGATTCATTCAGTATAAAATGCCTTCCCAAACCCCGACAGTATTGCATTCCAGGCTAAGTAAGAGTAAACAAAATTTAAGCATAATTGTGGTTATAAGGATCAATCCCAAACTCTACACACCCCTGTACTTTTTTCTCAGCCATTTATCCTTTTTGGGTTTTTGTTATTCCAGCGTATTTACACCCACACTGCCAGAAATCTTAGTTGTGGAAGACACAGCTGTCTCCTTCAAAGGATGCATGGTACAATTTTTCTTTGGCTGTGCATTTGTGATTACAGAAATGTTCATGTTAGCAGTGATGGCCTGTGACTGGTTTGTGGCTCTTACTAATCCTCTTTTCTTCACGGTCGCTATGTCTCATAAACTCTGTACCCTCCTAGCAGCTGGAACCTACATATGATTTGAATATGTTCCCTGACAATCACATACTCTGTTTTGGAACTATCCTTTTGTGGTTCTAATACCATAAATCACTTTTGCTGTGAGTATTCTGCCGTTATCTCTTTATCCTGTTCTGACAGCTATTTCAGTCAGTTGATATGTTTAGTCATTTCTGTATTCAGTGAGGCTTGTAGCCTCCTGATTATCCTCTCCTCCTATCTTGTCATGATTGTCACAATCATCCAGATGCCTTCTACTAATGGACTCCAAAAATCCTTCTCCACCTGTGCTCCCCACCTGACTGCCATCACCATTTTCCATGGGATCATCCTTCTTGTCTACTGCGTGCCCACCTCCAGGAGCTCATGGCTCCTGATCAAAGTGGCCACTGTATTTTTTACAGTTGTGATCTCCCTGCTGAACCCCATTATCTACAGCCTTCGGAACAAAGATGTGAAAGAGGCTGTCAGGGGTTTAATCAACTCCAAACTACTTTCTCAACCAATATAATTCAAATAAATATATGTATTTTGTAGTACTTACATCCAATAATTTTTCACATATATTGTTGATGCTAGTTTACCTTTATTTTAAGTACATATGTGATTATGTTTTAAATCAATTAAATGTTGCACTTTCCCTGTTTTTTGGTGGTCGGGACACTCTGACTTAATACAGAAATAATTCATTCTGATGCACTTCATCTCACCTGGGTTCAAGGAAGAAATATATTTCAACATCTCCCAGTTAGACATTATGGAAGTCAGAATGACGAAGAAGGGATGTATATTTAGAGACTCATTACTTATGTCATAGTTTCAGTTCTCCTTTATAAAAGTGCTGCAAAGACACAGATGATAACTGTCTTTGCTGGATCCGCACTCAGGTTCTCACAACCAATTCTTTTGACTCAGAAAGTTCTATAAAACAGAACTTTTTCTTCCCCTTAAAACTTCACTTCATTCGAAGTAAAATGAGGATCTGTGAGTTTGCATTGTGAGAAATATTATCTGAGTTTGAGTGAGCAGATGCTGAAAATATTAACCACTCTCTATATGTATCACTCATCTTTTGAACATCAATGTGATATTTTATAGTTCAATAAAAGTTACTGGAAATAATACTGAATACTAAAGAAAAGTTCAATTTATTTCTAACAAAACTTATATCCATTACTTATTGATAAAAAGACTGAGAGTAATAAAGTATACTTTTGAATCATCCATTCTCAATGATAAACTTTTGCCCCCTATCAATTTTCTTTATATCAGTAAATGCCATCCATATCTACTCAGTTGCTTAAATAAGCAAAGGAGAAGGCATTATTTATTTTGATTTATTATTCTGCAGCCTCTCTCAAATATGTCAGTCAGTTATGTTATTTCTGGCTCTAAAATGAAACACCGTCTTCATGTCTCTGCTTCCTGTGTCCCCATTGTCATTGTGGGTTTTTAGCAGTTAGTATCAAATTAATATATTTCTCATATTTTTTTAACCTTATATAAGGCATGAATCTCAGATCATCCATAGTGATATTTTAAAACTATAGAATCAATGTATTTTACTCCCCAAGCTAGTATTGTGCAATAGTTTTTATTACATTTATGATTATACTCTAACTCTTTGCAAAATCTAGCATCTGCTTAATTCTCTGACTTGTTCATTTTAAATTTAAAACATACCAAAACATATTTTTTAAACAAACATCCATGTAACTCTCAAGTAGATCAATACATAGGACAATCACTGGCCCTTTCCTCCTACTCTCAGCAAGAGTCAAAAGGATGATTTTTATCAAAATGATGCAATTACTTGTCTATATAGATTCAATATCTAACTATGCCTCTCAAAAAATATAAATTCGTATTCCTTTTTTGCAACTTTATTTAAAGGAAATCATGCATTATTTATCTCAAATATCTGACTTATATAGATGAATATTACATTTTACAAAGTATTCATGTTACATATATTTATACCTTATTCCATTTGTTTCTATTACATATTTTATATTATAAATATTTCAGAATTTTTCTTTATTCCAGTCTACTATGATGGACATTTGGGAAATTTCAATTTGGGGGCATGTGTACCATTACACTGCACATAAGTATTTATTTGATTGAGATTTATACCCAGAAGTATTATGCATTTATTTGGTTCTTAATTTTTCAAAGTGATTTTTATCAATTTAGACTCCTAAAAGCAATGTTTGAAAGCTCTAAAGTTATAATTCACCTCTTTGCCAGTGTTCAGTATTATTAGATGTTATGGTTTTTACCCATTTATTTGATTTAGAATATTTCATTTGTAGTTTTAATTTGGATATTTATGATTATTGAAGTTAGGCACATTTCAATATGTTCATGTATTTTTTTTTTTTTGAGGAGTACTAGTCTTGAGCTAACATCTGCCAATCCTCCTCTTTTCGCTGAGGAAGACTGGCCCTGAGCTAACATCCGTGCCCATCTTCCTCTACTTTATATGTGGGACGCCTACTACAGCATGGCGTGCCAAGCAGTGCCATGTCTGTACCCGGGATTCAAACTGGCAAACCCGGGGCGCTGAAGCATGAATGTGCACACTTAACTGCTGCGCCACTGGGTCAGCCCTTTTCTTTTTCTTTTTAAAGTGGATTCTTAGGGCATTTACCAATCTTCATTTAAGTTATTATGTGATAGTTCTAATTTATTCAAAAATTTATTTTATATTATGAATATAATCTCCTTGGCCGTTACGTATCTTGAAAGCTTTTTTGCATTTTGGCTTTACTTTTCACTCAATGTCCTCAAATAAAGAGCAAGCTTGAATTTTAACTTAGTCAACTGCATTACTTTTGTAATGTTTTTGTAATTGTTGAAGATATTTATCTACCCTTGAGGTCAAGAAGACATTTGTCTATATAATATTCAAGAATGTTTGTTCTTCTTCATATTTTGCTGTATGAGTCACCTAAAATTCGTTTTTTGTGGATGATATGAGGTTTGGGTCTTTGACAGATTGTTTACTTTTTCAGCATTATTCATTCTCTCTTCATCTTTGTCATGCTTCTCTGTAGGCAGAAGGAGAACAATTCCCATGTGGCTTGCTTGGGACAATGCAAAGTGAACGAGTGTGTCATAAGTTATCTCATAGAAAAAGCTTGACATGTCCCTACATGGTTTGAATCTTCCTTCCTTGAGCTTATGCATTAAACTTGGAAAACAGCATACCACAAAGCGAGAGTGTTCCTTCAGCCTGGTCCTGGAATGAGAAAACAAGGGACTTGAGTCAAACTTAACCAAACACAGCATCTCAGAGCTGTAATCAATCACCAACATTCATGATACTACTTCATTTCTAACCAGATAAATATATCATTGTCACATGCTGTTTACTGAAAAAAAAATCCCTTCCTGCCTTGTTGCCATTTAATACCAATCTTGTCATAAATGAAGTGTCCATATGTGTGCTTATCAGTATAATTATCAGCTGTTGTCACAATAACTCTTGAAAAACTCATCAAAAATCAATGGCTTAAAAGTACGATTATTTATTTTCAAAGATCAGGAGGTCATCTGAGGTGGTTCTGCCCTGGACTATGAGGCTAGGAATGTTTTGCTTCACACCACAGTTCCGTGAGTGTGGATTGCTCTGCATGTCTTTTATCATCTTTAGACTATTTGGATATTTGCATTATAGAAATGTCAGAAAAGCAGTAGACCAGGTGAAAATATTCAAGGTTTCTTAAAGCCTAAGCTAAGCACTGCCAATTTTTTTTTCTGCTAACAGATCATTAAACATGTCACAGGACTGGATTCATAATCCAAAGGTGAAGAAATACACCCCATCAACAACAAAGTATGTAGAATTTATGGATGCAAGGAGATGGTGAATAAGTGAACCCAATTATTCAATCTACTTCAGGCAGCTTCTTATCTCTCTATTGTATTCTATTGAAGCATTTTCCATTACTACATATTCTTAATTATTATAGTTTGCAATAAATCTTGATATCCATTAGAGAAATTGTTTCATCTTTTACTTCTTCATGAGTGGATATTGATCGTCCTTGGCCCTTTACGTTTTCATACAAACTTCAGGATTTATTTTGTTCATTTACTACATACTTTTGAAGCCTGAGCCCCTCATGGGCTGTAAAAATTATTTTTATTCTTTAGATCCACACTATAAAGCATTCTTACCTGTAGCTATGCCTTCTCTGCTACATTAGACTATATTCCATCCACTTTATACATTTCCGAAATTATGGGAAAATCATATCAGTTGGTGTTTATTTTACCATTGTCTTTATTAGAGTGACTTTGTTATTTGATTTATTCCTTCATTATGATTACTCTTTTTGATCGAGTTTATGATGGAGGGGAGAGGTAACAAAGATACATAGATTTTAATATATTGAATAAAAAGTCCGCTCTTTCTTTACCACTTCATAGATGGATGGAGGATAGATAAATATACGTATATATCTATTTATTGATAAAAACATGTAAAATTTAAAAATGGACAAAATAAAAACCAAAATATTAACATTATTATCTTTGTTGTTGGCTTATCAATTATTTTTTATTTTTCACTGTAATATCTTCTCAGTATTGAAAAGGTAACATATAGAATGGGAGAAAACATTTGCAAACTATGTATCTGGTAAAAGATTAATATCCAACACATATGTAAGAAACTTATGCAACACAGTAGCAAAAAAAACCTAATAAGCCAATTAAAAAGTGGACTAAGGACTTCGTTTAGATATTTCTTTGGAGAAGATGTGCTAATGGCTAATAGGTATATGAAAAAATTGTGCGATGCCACACCAATCCTCAGGGGATTGTAAATCAAAATCACAACGAGATATCATTGCACAAGTGTCAGGATGGCTGCTATCAAAAAACAAAAGACCAGTGTTGTCTAGGATATGGAAAATTCAGAACCTTTGTGCATTGTCGCTGGGAATGCTAAATGGTGCGGCTGCTATGGAAAACAGCATGGAGGTTCTTCACAAAATTAAAAATTGAACCAGTATATGATCCACTAATCCTGCTTTAGAATATTTATGCAAAAGAATTGAAATCAAGATTTCAAAAAGGTATTAGCATTCCAATGTTCCTTGCAGAACTATTCACAATAGTCAAGATGTGGAAACAACCTAAGTGTCCATGGATATATAAATGGATAAAGAAAATGTGGTATACACATACAATAGAATAAAGTTTAGCTTTAAAAAAGAAGGAAATTCTACAACACGTGACCACATTGATGAACCTTAACGACCTTATCCTACGTGAAATAGGCCAGTCACAGAAAGACAAACTTCATGACTCCACTTACATGAGGTATCTAAAATAATCAAATACACACAATCAAAGAGTGAAATGATAGTGGCCAGGGGCTCGCAGAGGGAGAAATGGAGAATTACAAATCAATGGGCATAAAATTTCAGTTAAGCAAGATGAATAAGTTCTAGAGATCTGCTGTAAAAAATTGCGTCTGTAGTCAACAATACTGCATGGTACACTTAAAAATCTCTTAAGAGGCTAGGACTCATGTTAGTGTTCTTACCACAATAAAGTAAAATTTTAAAAAGAAACATTAGTACATTATGATCACTAAAATCCAAACTTTATTTGTATTCCATGAGTTTTTTCCACTGCCCTTATTCTTTCCTGGGACCCTATCCAGGCTACCACATTGTATTTAGTTGTCCTGTCTCCCCAGCCTCCTCCAGTATTTGACAATTTTTCACTCTTCTCTTGACTTTGACAGTCCTAAGGTGTGCTGGCTAGTAAGCCTGTAGAATACTTCCAAATATGGGTTTACCTGATGATTTTCTCACATTAAACTGAGATTATGGATTGTGTGGGAAGAATAACACACAGGTCAGATCTTTCCCATCACATCGTACCACAGGAGGTAAATGATATCCACATTGTATCATTGGTGATGGTCATATTCGTCCTTTGCTTAAGGCAGCATTGGCCAAGCTTCTCCACTCTAAACTTCAATGTGGAATTTGAAAGGTAGTTGAGTTAATAACAGCTAATTCTGGATTGTCCCTTTTTTTCTCAGTTAAAACTCAAACCATTTACATTTTCTTTAATCAATTTGTATTATTTCAATAATTTAATATCTACAAGCAATTAATGGAATAGATGTGAAGACGTAATTATCCCTAATGATTTAGAAGAAAATGCATCTACCATAATGACGCAAGAGACAGTGTTTCTACTAACTGTATGATTCATGGCCCACCGAGGATTACTTCAGTTATAATTTTCTATAGTTTATAACTCCACTGTCATAGAGACATACATAAGTGGCAGAGTTTGTACTATGATTTCAGCTTTTTCTGTGTATTCTCTGAGATTTCCTATGTCTTGAAAGTACAATGCCATTTTACTGGCATACTCATTAAAATATACTGCCACTTTTGTTACGAACTTCAAGCCTGTTGCTATCTTACAGAATGTTTGATTACTGAGAAGAAAAATGCCTGAGGTTCATTAATGATCAAAAGATATCAAGATCTCTGGTTTCAGGTCAATTCATTTCTCTTTTGGTATCTTTCCCTTTAGGTGGAAATATGGAGCTACAGCTCATGTAGATTATTCCAAAAATTATAAATGACTCTTCTTATGCTCAGATACTTATTTTTTGGTGAGGAAGATTGGCCCTGAGCTAACATCTGTTGCCAATCTTCTTCTTTTTGCTTGAGGAAGATTGTCGCTGACCTAACATGTGTGCCAATCTTCCTCTATTTAGTATGTGAGATGCTGCCGCAGCCTTGCTTAATAAGTGACATTTAGGTCTCCACCCAGGATCCAAATCCACAAACCTTGGGCTGCTGAAGCAGAGTGCACAAACTTAACCACTATGCCACTGGGCTGGCCCCATGGTCAGAGACATTTTAATTGTCACTAACAGGGCAATGAAGTGTTTCTAATAATTAAATTTTGTATTACAGAAACTGGCAGCAGTGAGCAATAGTGAAGTCACAGAAAATTTATGGGATATAGGTTGATTTTTAAAATGTTATAGGCCTAGTTTCAATTTGAGTACAAACCTAATCCTAATCTATTGATTTTCACCAAAATTATTTGAAATTGCTAGAGTTCGAGGACCAAGTCTTTTCCTGAGTATCTTTTTGTTATTGACCTAGGAAGTTTGCCAATAAGCCAGAGCAGGAATAGTAATCTCTTTAATATGCCAGGATTTTCCTAATACATTCAAATGTTGAAGGAGACTTACTTATTAAAATAGACTGAACAATAATGGATATTTACAGTATATCCGACAAGTCCCATTTGCTACTGGAAAAAAGATGCTGATGATAGATGCTTTATATCCGGGGTTGCTTGTAGCACATGTAAAAGTAGGTGATCATGGAGCTAAGTCTGGAGCCTGACACTTGCTCCAGACAAAGCTAAGAGGATGGGACAGATCATTCATCTAATTCCACTGCAGCCTCATGTCTATATCTTGGGGCCCTTCATTTTATGGTCTCACTGCTCTCACTTCCTTATCGTCTCCAAGTTTGCCTCCTCATAAGAGAGGGCTTACCTCTCAGAGGGGTTAAGAAAATGTGTTATTTTCATTGGATTGTAGAACATATTTTGTATCGAACTATTGTTGGTGAATATAAGACACTTCTCAAAAAAAATATATACAGTTTATATATTTAAATATATGCGTATAATTTTTAAAACATATATCAAAATAGATGACCTAAAAGCACATTAATAAATAGTTAATGAAAATATAATTAAATAACTTTAATAAAATAATAAATGTTATGCAAAATGTCAATAAAAGAGCCACAAAATTACCCCAGGAGGCAGTGTACCATTAATGGAGGTTTTGATGGAGGCCACATAATCATTTCATGGATGAAATTATCTTCAATTCTCAAGCATCATGTGGAAGGCACAAACAGGATGCATTTTAAGATTTATTCCTACTCCTAAATTCTATGGGTATTTCATTCTGTATTATGTCTAGAAAATGTCAAACACATAAAAATAATTAATACTAAGATTTATGTGGCACCACTTGCAATACCAAGTGATCTCCTTGATCCTTAGTGTGATTCTTAGAACCGTAACAAGGTGCTCTGTGCTTCTGTTCTGCCTCTCTAAGTTTTGGGTTTTTTAATAATTTCTTTCACGCTCTAAATTTATATTTCAATTCTATATTAATAATACTAACAAGAGCTGAATTTTAAACAATAGGATTATTACTATACATTTTCTATAACAATGATTCTCGTAATTTAGCATGCATCAAAATCCAAAATCACCTCGAGGGGTGGTTAAATCACAAACTGTGGTCCCCATACTAGAGTTTTTGATTCAGGAAGTTGGTGATGTGGCTAGAGAATTTGCACCCCTAACAAATTGTCAGGTGTTCTTGCTGCTGGTTGGGAACTATACTTTGAGAATCACTGTTCTGTACAAACTTCACAGACAAATAGGAAGCCTCTTTCTTCTCTCTGTTTCTTCCTGTATTCAGTTGTATTTTTAGGAATGGCTTTTGATTCTTTACTCAACAGGAATCGTGATGTTATCCAAAGGAAATCAAAGTATCATACCTACTTTTATTCTCCTGGGTTTTTCAGAATATCCAGAACTCCAGATTCCACTCTTCCTGGTTTTCTTGTCTACCTACACAGTCACTGTCGTGGGGAATTTAGGCATGATAATAATCATCAAGATCAATCCAAAACTCCACACGATCATGTACTTTTTTCTTAGTCACTTGTCCTTTGTAGATTTCTGTTATTCTACCATAGTTACACCTAAACTGTTGGAGAACTTGATTGCAGAAGACAGAACCATCCCTTTCTCTGGTTGCATTCTACAATTTTGTTTTGCTTGCATATTTGCTGTAACAGAAACGTTCATGTTAGCAGCGATGGCCTATGATCGTTTTGTGGCAGTTTGTAACCCCTTACTCTATACCACTATTATATCCCAGAAGCTTTGTGTGCTTCTGGTGGCTGGGTCTTACTCATGGTGTATAGTGTGTGCCCTGACACTCACATATTTTCTTCTTGCATTATCCTATTGTGAGTCTAGCATCATAAATAATTTTATCTGTGACTACTCTGTAATTGTTTCTGTCTCCTGCTCAGATCCCCATATCAGCCAGATGCTGTGTTTTATTATTGCCATATTTAATGAGGGGAGCAGTCTGATGATTATTCTGCTGTCCTATATACTCATTTTTATCACTGTTATGAGGATGCCTTCTGCAAGTGGGCGCCAGAAAACTTTCTCCACCTGTGCCTCCCATCTGACAGCCATCACCATCTTCCATGGAACCATTCTTTTCCTTTACTGTATCCCTAATCCTAAAACTTCTTGGCTTGTAGTTAAAGTGGCTTCTGTGTTTTACACAGTGGTGATTCCTATGCTGAATCCTTTGATCTACAGCCTTAGGAACAAAGATGTGAAAGACACATTCAGAAAATTAGTGGTCACAAAATTGCTTTGTCACTCAATATAATATTGTTAGATTCATTATTTTATTTCTGAAAAATTTGATTTGCTATGCTACAGATTGTTCAACTCTTATAGTGCAATTGATAATTCCAACTATTTATTCAACAAGCTATTAGTTAATATATCTGTGGCAGCACATTTTATGAGTATGAATTTTTGCATTCATTAATTATTAGTGAAATAGCTCTAAACCATGTGCAAACCAAAATTTTAGAAAATAAAATTTGTGAACTATATTTTGTAATATTTATAAAATATTTTTCAATGCTTTATCATATAGTGTAATTATAGATGTGTGTTTCCTAAGTACAACTAATTCTCAGTTCATCAAGTATGTGCAGATCTAGAATAGTTCCTTTGAATTGTAATCAGGAAGCTCATACTTCAGAGATGGCTTTAATAAATGCTTAAGCTCACTGTATCTTGTACAGTAACCAATCGCTTGTTTTTCATCGTATGGAATGGCAGAAACTCACTTTTATTCATGAAAATTATAGCTTGCTGACTAGTAAGTAAAATTAAATATTGCTCTATGTTCCCTAAATTCATACTTTATTCCAAAAAAAAAAGTAATAAAGGCAGTAGGATATTAGAGTAATAGAGTCCCAAAAAGGGCTCAAGCATATGTGGTCATCTAAATTTCCATGATAATCCAATGCCAATATAGTTCAATGGAGAGATAATTTTCAGCAAATAGTGCTGAGATAATTGGATATCCATATGGATAAATGAGCCTTAACTTTTACCGCACATCATACACAACCATTAACTTGAATTAGAGGAACTGGATCATAGTCCTAAACACAAAAATCAAACTACAAAATTTTAGTACAAAACAGAACAATATTCTGGAGTTTGTGGCAGGAATTTTTTTAGATGAAACACAGAAAGGATGGACCATCCAAAAATTGATAAGGGCCTGCCCCTGTGGCCGAGTGGTTACAGTTCCATGTACTCCGCTTAGGCAGCCTGGGTTTGCTGGTTCAGATCCCAGTCATGGACCTACTCCACTTACCAGTCACGCTGTGGAGCTGTCCCACATACAGAAAAATAGAGGAAGATTGGCACAGATGCCAGCTCAGGGCTAATCTTCTTCAAGAAAATTATTTTTTAAATGATAAAAGAAACTTCATTAATGTTAAAAACTCATGGTAAAAGTTTCCTAATGGTGAAAGACACCATTAAGAAAATGAAAATGTAAGCCACAGACTGTTGGTAAATATTTGCAGTATACGTGTTTGACAGAAAATTTGTCTGTAGAACACATGAAAAACTGTTTATACTCAAAACAAGAAGACAAACAATCTCCTTAAAGAATCAGTGAAATATTTTAGCACTTGACAAAACGAGATATACAAATCATCTATAAACACATAAAAAGATACTAAACATCATTAGTCATCAATGAAGTTCTTTTTAAAACCACAGTAAGACACCATTGCATACTAGCTAAATCGCTAAAATGAATACGACTGAAATACCAAATACTGGTGAAAATGTGGAGCAAGCGGAATGCTCATACATTTCAGATGGTAGTAAAAGGTAAAATGACTTTGAAAACAGTTTAGCTATATTTTATGAAGTTGTACAAACATTTCCCATACAACTCAACAATTCCTTTCCTAGATGTTCACCCATGAGAAATGAAATCCAATATTTTAACTTAGGAGAAAATTGTTCTTCTGGCATATGCAGTAATATAGGAAAGAGAAAAGTGTAAGGAGAGTGATGCATGTGGGTATTTTTGTCCTTGTATGAGCTTTTTGGACTTTGTTCCTTTAAAAAGTGATTTTCCTAAGGGCTGGCCTGGTGGAGCAGTGGTTAAGTTCACACATTCTGCTTTGGCAGCCCGGGGTTCGCTGGTTTGGATCTTGGGTGCGGACACGGTACCACTTGGCACGCCATACCGTGGGAGGTGTCCCACATATAAAGTGGAGGAAGATGGGCATGGATGTTAGCTCAGGGCCAGTCTTCCTCAAAAAAAACTGAAACAAACCAACAAACAAAAAAAAACAAAAAGTGATTTTCCTAGAAGAGGTGGATTCTCATCCATGAAGAGCTGTTTCCATAGACCTATCAAGGATAAATAGGAAATGGCAGAAGTGATATGGAAAGATCTTGTCTCTTAACATAGAGAAGTATTTATATATACACACAAGCTTATATAAACTTACACATAGCCAAATAAATTATGGTACAATATACATATACTTGTTAATGCATGCAGATATTCTCCTGCATTGTGACTGATGGCATTCTCATAATATTTATGTTACTAAGCCTTTGAGAATTGTAGTAATGAGGTATAATTGTCCTCTTATGTAATTGTCCCTTTGAGATTCAAGGTGAGAATTCAGTTTGTCCATAAAAAAATGGATTTCAAATTGCTGTTAATTCTGAGAAAAACAGACCCTGTATATGTGAGTCATTGTCTGGTCAGGAAAAGAAAACAGCTATTCTTGGTTTTTAAAAGAGAGAAATTAGAATGGTGACTTGTCTTAAATGTACTGGAAGGATTGCTGGGATAAAAAGGAGGAAATAGATCTTCCAGAGATTAGTAAAGAAGCCATTAAAATCAGCAGGCTAGAGGAAAACGTTTTCTCATGACTCAGCCATCCTATGGTCTTCTGTGGTCCTTGACTTGGCTGGGGTTTTGATTGAGACCTGACAGATGTGTGTCTCCCTCAGATCTGAAAGGTTGTTAATGATTGAGCTCTACCCTCTGAAGTTTGAGTTTAACGCACTCTCCTGCTACCCCATGCAGCTTAATAGCTAGACGAATATCGTGAGGGAGAGATGGTCAAGCTTTTTTGGAAGGTCTTGATTCTCTATTTAGATTTTTTTTTCCTAAGCACCATGACATTTCTGTAGGACATTTGATTCTGCCTTTCTGGTTCAGATTCCCAACCCCCCATGCTTCCTAGAATAAAGCAAATGCCCTGGTGGAAAAACTGGTCATGTCTTTTTGGTTTCTTTAGTTTTCAATTTATCAATAAATTCTTGTGTGTCCACAAAGCACTGCTGGATTCTTTGTTTTCTCAGTAATGTCCCTCTGCAAGTGCCAAACCTGAAACTCAGCCTGTTCCCAGAATCAGAAAATGTGTACAGTGAAGGAAACAGCTGGTGACTGCCAGCTCACCAAGGAAGGCCTCTTTCCACTCTGAAATTTTAATAATCTAGTCCTAATTGCTTCTATTTCTCTCTGTAAAAAATAATTTTTGCAATTAATTTTTTAAACAAAGTTATTTCATGGAATTGTTGGTCTGCAGTGATCTTCCCTAACCTACCTGAAGCAGAAGACCATGACAGACTCTCCAATGAACAATGGAAGGTAGAAGACAACGAGTGAAGGAAATAACTGTAGAACTATGATCCTGTGCCTAAGAATTATTCTTTAAAGATATAGAGGGAACAAAGTATTTTCAGACAAAAAAAGTGAAAGGAATATCTTCAGTGCATTTACAGTAAAAAAAAATCTTAAGAAGACTTCGTCATGCAGAAGGAAACCAGACGGATCTTGGAGAATGACTGTAGACTATGGAAAACTCAACCAAATAGTAGCCCTTGAACAGATGCATGTGGCTTATGGAATATAGTATTCTATCATTTATTTGGCAACTGTATTATTTTACTTTGCTTTTTAATTAAAAAAATAATAAACAATTCACATTCCCATGGGATGGATAAAAGTATTTCTTTAAAGTTTTGCTTAGGGCCATGTTAACTCTACAGCTGTCTGTCATGATATAGTTTGAAGAAATCTCTACCACCTGAACAAGCCACAGAACAGCACACCAGTACATTACATTGATAGCATCATGCTAACCAACAAGATAAACAAGAGGGGGCTAAAATGCTGAAGGCTTTAGTAAGAAACAAAGGAAAGATGAGATTCAGGAAACTGCCACTTGGATGATGTGTTTAGTCTTACAGTAATCAGAAACATTCCAGGGTACCCTCCCCCAAATAAAAGACAAGTTATTGCATCTTCTGTCCCCTACCAGAAGTGAGAAAGCACAGCTCTTAGAAGACGTCTTTGAAGATTTTAGAGGCAACACATTCCTCTAAATACTGCTCTGACTCTTACACTGAGCTTGATAAACAATCCTGAAGGTAATTGATTACCACTTCCTGGTGTATATAATGTTGTATAATCTCCTCCCTTTGTGTGCAGGTGAGGCCTGTGACTTGCTTCTAAGTAATACAATACGTCAAAGGTAATGGGATGTCACCCCCTTGGTTAAGTGATGTTATATAGCAAGATGAAGAATTGTGCATTGGTAATTAAATTCCAAAATCTGTTCATTTTTAGTTAATCAAATGGGAGTTTATCCTGGGTGGGCTTGGTTTAACTGGTGAAAGCCACTAAAAGAAAGACAGGGCCCTCCCTGAAGTTTTTTCCCTGTTGAGCTTCTTATCAAAGCACAACTCTGACTGACACCTGAATTGCAACCTGATGACACACTGGAGAGTCCAGAAACCTAGTAAAGTGGTGCCTGGACTGCTGCCTTGTAGAAACTGTGATATAAAAATGTGTATTTGTTTAAGCCACTCAGTAGGTGGTAATTTATTATGGAGCATAGAAAACTCATATAGCAGGTGACACAGAAGGTTGCTAGCTTTGAGTGACTCTGGGTCAGAAATTGGCTCCAGAGCTGGTCCAGGGTGCAGAGGTCAGTGATAGGAAGCAGATGCAGTGTGAAACTCATGCCACTCACAGTGTAGTAATACAGATCCATCAGTTTCTGGAGCAAAGCCATCTAATCTACAAAAAATAATTTTGTGCCTTGTGATAATTAGCCACTGTTGTGCTAAGGGTTTCTGCTAGAGACTGGAAAGGGTTAATCATGTTGTCTGGGGCCAGGGAATGCATAAGTGGATCTAATTGGGTGATATCTGGGCATGGTGGGACGAATAGGTTGGTTGACACCCAGTGGTTTTAGAGAGTTAAATGTGCTTCTAAAATACATTTGTCGTTTTTAAGATGGTATAGATTAATTCTGTTAATATAAGCTTGGAAAAGTAGACTACCCATATTTGGAATAAATGCAAATTAGTTCCAAGGAAGCGAATCAATGTTTCCAAGGAAAATAGTGATCATTTTATGTTAAATGAAAAAGACAGAATCCAAGTTATGTTGTTTGTACATTTCAGGACACATATATTATGCAAAGAAAAAGGCAGACAAATGAAACAGCAAATATTAACAGTGGTTCTCTCTGAATGGTTGTATTTTAGCTGATTCATCTTTACCTTTGCTGTTTACTGTAATCACCATGCTTTCTAAGTCAATTTGTATATTGCCTACAATTAATATTTTAGAAGAAATTCTTGAGGTGGCCTTGATGAAGTATTGTCTCCAGCAATTTAGAAGAAATTACCTTCTTGTAAAATCCAAGATAGGAGTGCATTCAATCTAATTTCTAAGTTTGTGATATAAAAAGAAATAGTTCAGCAAAGATTCTCCAGGGTCTAAATCCCTGAGGTCATGGAGGCATACATAAACCCAACAGTTTGCTCCTAGGAGTCAGATTTAGCTTCCAAATCTCTCTGTCTCTCTCTCTACCTCTCTGCCTTTTTCTGAGTTTTTTCTGGATTTTAAAGAAATATATTCACATCACATTAAATACAATTTATTGTAGACTCCTGCTAATATTTACAAACTTCTTAATATTTTCAATAACGTTTGAATTCTGAGTGGGAACCTCCTCGGTGACTATTAACACTAGGAACAGGATCTTCAGGTGAGTTGGTTTCAGGTTGGGCGACCCGTCTTGTGTTATCTTGCACTTACATGGGGGACATTGAAGTCCTGCAACTTTTGAGGCAGGGAAGACTGTTAGTCTAAATGCCATAACGTCTCCTGAGTCCATCTTCCTAAAGTCTCATATCAATGAGTTTTGATCTCTTCCCCCTTCCCTGTGGTATCATCCTGATTTTTGCTTTGAGGATATTCACCAC